CGTTCTATAAAAGAACCAGATGTTCACAGAAACTATGATCTCTAAAGTCTAGAACAATAAAAAAATTGTAGATTATTAATGTAAATTCTATAGACAAATTGAGATATACTCTGTCTATGCAGTTTTAAGAAGAATTACTTTGTAATTGGTTTCGTTGGGAGGTTGTCAAATGTTCTGAAATTGGGTATGGAGTTTAGCAGAGACGAGTGCACCATTGTATTATTACCCATAAAAAAATAGGCTATGGAGACTTAACATATTAGTACTTCGGATTGGTAACAAGTGAGTTGTAACACAACACATGATGCAGATATATGATCTCCGTGATTGCTGTTCATGCATATTGCCGACGACTGCTCGCTATTCCAGTTGAATAAAAAAAATATGCACACACTAATATAAAATAGGAATCTACATTTAAATATAATTAGAAGATCTGCAGAATTTCAAAGTAAAGAATATTTAAATCCCGGCAGATTAATTTCGTACTACATCCGTCTCACAAAAAGTTTGCGTCAAACAAAAGTGCTCTTAACAAAATATAAATAACGTGTAGCAATAAACCTTAACAAATCGTTGTGACGTCATCGGGAAAAAACGGCGGGAAAAATCAGCTGTTTACACGGCAGCTCCATTCAACTTTTTCTAAATTTAAAATTTGAAGCGAAACATATTCCGTTTGCGCGCGAAAAGTTTAAAAGAAATAAACAGAAAGTAAACAGAACTGTATATACATTCCTAAAATCGCAGAGTTTTTCATTGTTTTTCTGGTCTTTCTCATTGATAGAGAGAAACAAGAATACACATTACAGTCTTATACATAATTATAAAGTGAATAGTAGCATGGATGAAAAGAACTATATAATTTTTGTAATACCAGCATTCTAAGCTATATCTTAATTTTTTTTTAAAAAGGTTATAATTTACGCTTTATAGATACTACGATAAACTATACGTTTAAAACAGATTATAAATCAGACAAATATTTATACGCAATCGCTAACAAAACTACGAACTACAATCTATTAAAAGGAGAATTATTAGTAAATACGGTATTTCTATACAGAAATAAATTATTTTTAATTTAGTTCTGATACCGCGATCGATTGTATAAACTACTTAAATAAGGTGGTATAATTAGCAATCATTTAAAAAAAAATCAATATTTCGGTAAACACAATTCAATCATCAATCAGGCGTGAACATGTGTTGAAATTAACGGGTGTTTACTCCACATCTTCGGAGGGAATACCTAATACTAATTAATACATCAGTATTAACACATACTATATTATTACATGTTTACTTTAAAAATAAAATTGTTACTATCTCCCAAATTCGTTGAATGAAAGGCCATGAATTTTAATTTTATTATAGCTCTTAATTTTAATGCTATTATTGTTAAAATTATAATATGTATGCTTATGAGATATTCTGCTCAACAAGTTCTTTGTATTGTGGTGAAAAGGATTTAATTCGTTAAATCCTTTTCACATTTACGTACAAACGTATAAACTGATAATTTCTAAACAAAATGATACCTGCTTGAATATTAAAAAATACTATAAATTATCACTTTCTAAAGTCATAATTAACATAAAATAAAGCTTATTTATATAGCTATAGTATACAAACTTCTAAAAATCAATTTACACATTTCGTTCAATTAGCACATTAAACTGAAAACATAAAACATTGCCAATTAAACATGTCAATGTAGCTCGAAGATGGATTTCCGCCAAAATTATTCTGGCCTAAAAGAAAGTGCGAGGTTGTCTGAAGTCGACCTTGGTGTTTATCAGTCTATTTCAGTGCCACCGCGTCAGTTTCAGCGAAGGTTTGGCATAGTTTTCGATTATTATTTTTTTACATTGTTGAAACCTATTGGAATTATATACCACTAGTTTTTGGCCGCGGAATCGTTCATGGGACAGAAATATAAAGCGGAAGTCTGATTCTTTAGTCTAATTTCGTGGCTATTGTTCAAGTAAAATGATAAGAAATGCCTATAGGTATTTCTTATCATTTTCATCTGAGTGACGTATTTGTGAATAAGATTTTACATTCTTATATACTCTTCTTCTTGCTCCAGCTGGCGCTTTCTTCGGTTGACTTGTATTAAAAGAAACTGATGCTATTATTTTATTTATCCTAATTAACTATAAATTCACTGAAGAATTTGTAATATTAGTTATAAATATATTGTAACAAGGTATTTTCTTATATACTTATAATATACAAAAAAGATAGGTAAGCACACTTTTAATCCCGATCAATTTATGCAAATATCGATTATGAGTATGAAGTTTCGGCTAAAAATAATTTGTTATATTATTATGTTCTTCGTGTATATGATGGTGGTACTTGCATCATTCCATTATCATCCAATAAAAAAACCAGGATACTTAGGGGGAAGCGGATTGTTAATAATGTGGACTACTAACCCCATTGCTTGCAATATACCATATCAGGTTGACCCCCACGCGATTCACCCAGGAAACCAACATGATACACGTATTTGCCACAATGTGCTAACTGACATGACCTCATGTTCATCCTATTATCCTTCACTGGTAGGCCCCGCCAGCGTAAACCGTTAGCGTAGTCAGGTGCACCATTCCATTATCATCATTAAAAAAAAACACGATTAATAGTAATGGGGACAATCCCCCCACTTTTATCATATTAGAAACCTAGGTATAGTATAAAATCTGCATTGAAAGTGTATCATGCTTTCACATTAGCGTATACGTAGGTGTACAACATTATAACATTAGTCGGTCAGGCTTCCGACTTTGAGCTATTAAGTTCACATTTCCACCATTATGAGTAGGGTTCTCACACGCATAATATAGATAGATAGATATATAATTACTTTATTTGTATTCTTAACAATAAAAAACAAATACAAAAAACAGTAACAGTAAAAACCAAACAAACGGACAAGTGTCATAGTATAAGTATGTTACTGAATTGTGTGTTGCAGTAGTCTAAACAGACCGTAGCTCAGCGTGATTTTTGCCCAGGGAGCAAACAAACGAACATACAGTATATATTATCTTGATCCTTTTTTTGGCAATTATATCATATATCATAGAAAAACTAACTGATCAACTAGCTGGAAAACGATATTCTTTCATATAAATTATTGTCGCTATTTGAGAATAAGAGTTTAAGATAGAACGGTGAAAATTTAGAGTTGTATGCATTTTTTAATGCCGAATCATACAAAATTTAACATGATTTTTTTTTAATAAAACAAAAAATAAAATATTGGGGTATCTTTATCACTTAGGTGTATGAAAATTAGTTTACATTCTATTCTCGGATATATTGAATATATTATACAAAAAAAAAAATCATATCATTACATAGTATAAAATAAAGTCGCTGTCGCTGTCTGTCCCTATGTATGCTTAATCTTTAAAATTACGCAACGGATTTTGAAGCGTTTTTTTTAATAGATAGAGTGATTCAAGAGGAAGTTTATATATATATATATATATATATATATATATAATAAGATAATGTAGCAATCTAATTATAATTTATTGCTTTGCATTAGCAATGTAATGCAATTGTAAGGTATTTTTTATAATTTTAACTGGAAGTCGGAATACATCCCGTGCACATCGTGGAGAATTTCAGAATGAAATAAACAACTTTGATCTGTTGTTTATCACACTTACACATACAAAAAGTTAAAAAATAAATGTCATGGAAAGTAAAATTATAAAAATACTAACTGTACCCGCGTTAAATTTCAACATATATATTTCAATATAAAATATAGCATATATGTTATACTGATGCATAAGCAACACTGTAGTATTGTCCAAATCCGTTTTTGCGTGAAAGAATAATAAACGTCCACGCTTACAAACTTTCGCGTTTATAATATTATTAAAATTAAGGCAATGAAAATAAATGTGTACGTCTTTCCTAATTTTCCATTGATACCATTTTATCATCTGCCTTTCCTTGTCCCAAATCATTTAGATCGGCGTAATATGTATTATTTAAGTACTGCGTAAAAGTACCCTATAAAAAAAAATATTATTTATTCTTTAAATAAGGTGGCAACCCTAATTATGAGTCATCAGCAAGCATCCAGTCTGTACAGTTGACTTCCAGTTTACCGTTAACTCAACATATTCACATCAGTAAGATTTGACTGACTCGGTAAAAAGCATTTTAATGTACAACCAAACAAATATCAATATAACATATATTAATATTTGTTTAATTTATACACAGTAGGCGGGTTTAGTTCTTATTGTTTATTTAAATTGACATTAATTTCAATTAATTTGTATAGATTTATATATTTGACTATTTGTTCATTGTGTTTTATATAGATATAGATGGTGAACATGATAATAGCGTATCTGATTGATAATTATAGTTCTCAAACATATTACTTAAATTATTCTACAAACAATCATATTTAATATATATTTCCTTGTATTCAGAGGACCTTTTTGTATAATTGTGAGTTATAAAATTTGTTTTCAGTTTTATAAGTCAGAATATTTTTTACCAGAGATTCCATCGAGCTTTAGAGCTTATTATTTCGTGACGGTATATTGTTCTAATTAAACCGAAGGTGAATGACAAAGTACAGTACAAAATTTCATCTTTTTATCCCTTTAGGGACAATGATTCCGAATATCTTTCTCATTTCTTATTTCTCATGATTATTAAACAATCTCTTTGAAAAGCTTCGACCACTACTACATTTCATTTTTAAAAGTATGTACATTCTTATGACAATTGACAATAAGTTTCTTATGTCTTCGGCAATTAGGAACAAAACTTAACTCTTGCCACTCTATCAAAATTAAGATGTTTAATTCTAAATATAACATTCGAGATTAAGTAATTAAAACAAAATTAATAGATGCTAAAGTTATAACGCCACAAATCGTTATTGATCACCTAACAAATTACACTTTCTATCCGATCTCAATCTCTATAAAGTCTACATTTCTTTCTTTCAGGATTACCGGTGGAGAGCTATTCGAGAGAGTGATTGATGAAGACTTTGTGCTAACGGAACGAGCGTGTACGGTCTTCATGCGGCAAATATGTGAAGGCATCGAATTCGTTCACAGACAAAATATTTTACATCTCGACATGAAGGTAAGTTTCAAGAATTTTTCTTTAGTCCCTTCAAACATTTGGTTCCATATAGCGATGTTTGAACTCCGAATGGTAATATAATGGTCAATTATTAACAGATATAGCCGTATAGTATGGGAAAGAGTTGTCCATGTTTCATACTACTAGTAGTACTACTAGGATGGTTATAAAGCCTGTGTGGGTAGAGAAGCTAAAAATATTTGTGGTCTCACACTAGCCAATGATAGCTGCCAGTAAGATGAATTGTGATACCTGGCTGTACTGTTCTTGATGTCAATGCATTAGTCTTGCTTTAAGTGAATGATAATACCTACTGTATATATAATTTGTTATGCAATTGCTAATGGGAAATTAGATTTATTTATAATACGCATAGAATTGCTAATAAGCTGACGACGCGTCTACCTGATGGAAAGTAGTAACCGGCGCCTATACTTAGTTATTTATGGTTTTACATTAGTAGATAATAATTATAATAACCCTGGACAATTGAAACAGCGTCATCTAAACAGGGCCTGTACTATAGGTACTAGACAACTGTTAGAAATTTTAAATATATTTTTTATAACAATGTACACAGAGAACACACGGGTTAATACAAACAATCATATTCATGACTACAAATGTTTGTACTGAACAAGGAATCAAACCCCATCCCATCGGAAACAAGATGGTGTGCTTAAACCAGACCAGCGAGGTCGGTAAAGATAAACAAGTAAAAGATAGATCCCAAGTTTAACGAACGAACCTTAGTTGACGGTTAGTTCGTCATTTTTTGATCTAATACACATTAGTAGCAATCTATTGTTGTAATCGGCACTGTAATAACAAACAACATTTCAGTCGACCCGGGTGTCTGTAGATATTTTGGTTCGAGTCCAAGTGATAAATCAAAATGGCGGAAAAGCATGCGCGGGAGTTTTATGATTGTCTGTCGGACCACAGTCTCGATTGTTTATTTGCACTTCTTTATTTCTGTCAACTTTGCAATCGTCGAAAACATTTCTTTTTTTTTATTTCCACTTCTACGGTTACATCACAGATATATTTTAAATTTGAGACATTTCTCCTATAAATTTATATAACAGATTAGACTCGTATTTTAAGATAGTTTCACAAAAAAAAATTCAATCATGATAAAATTAACATGTTACTAACTCGAAATTAGTTTGTAAAAAGAATCACTAAAACATTTGTAATTTATGGAGATTACTTATGTGTTCCGTGTTTAATCATAGAACAAAAGGAAGAATTTTTGCAAATTAGAGTGCATGGGAACCCTTCCTAATTTGAACAAATTCTTAGCTATTTTTATCGTAAATGCTTACAAAGCAAGTTAAGGATATGTTGTAATTTCTGCTGTGTAATTTCAGTTGATATAACACCTTAGGAATATGTATGACGGGTATTTGAGGGAACGCAATCTATTTTATAAAATTTTTGTTTAACACTTATTATTAGGAGAGCTAGCTAGTTCGCATAAAAAAAATTAAATAAAAACGTTCGTTTGTTTAGGCGGATTTGTTTGCACTTTGTTTTTCCTCGGACACATGAAAGGAAAACACCAATCGATTAGGATTCGAGTAAATTGAGATTGGACATCCACTCCTATCTGCTCCATTTTTTAAATTTTGAAGTAAGTAGTTCGGACCTCAATAAAATAATTTAACTTTCTTTTTCTTACAGCCTGAAAACATTCTATGTCTGACAAAGACAGGCAACCGCATAAAGATTATAGACTTCGGTTTGGCGCGGTTCTACGACCCAGAGAAGAAACTACAAGTATTGTTTGGCACCCCGGAATTCGTTGCCCCCGAGGTTGTTAACTTTGACCAGATCGGTTACGGTACAGACATGTGGTCCGTTGGAGTAATATGTTATGTGCTGTAAGTATATTTATATGTAACAATATGTAATAATATAGAAATGGAAAAGCTTTAGAATGACATACTTGTGAAATGATTCATTCTAAAGATCTTTGATCCCATGGAGTGGATTTATATATATATATATACTTATATATAATATAACGTATGACCATTTTGTGATGAGAAAACTTTTCGATTTCAAGGTAATTTAAAAAATAAGTATGACCATGACTCTTATGTCTCCTCCAAACTTCCAAAATTTAAATTATGTTTTAATTAATTTATGTTTATTTGAATAAAGAATTAAAGTGAGTATACCAAGATAGACTTTGAATGAATCAGGAAAGCGATGCAATGCAATGCAAATTATATAAATTATAAGCGTGCGCGTAGAAGGTAGATAGGGCAGTGAAATTACAGCCCAAGAGGCATGACATCTTAGTCCTATGACCGACCATCACAGGCATCACACATAACTTGTTATCTGTATCTCGTTGTAACTTGATAGCTTTCCGAATGAGCAGTAGTTTTAAAAAAAACATTGTTATGACTATTCAAAAGTGCTTGAATTAAGTTTATTTCAATAAATGATTTTATATTCTATTCTATTCGTGCTATTCATGTACTCGTATGTATATAGGAGATGGTTACCACTTACCACCATCCTCTTGTTTGCCATTCCATTTATATAAATATATTGTAGTACTTATATAATATAGTCTTTAGTATAATTAATATATTTATGTTATCTGTACTATAACGTTTGTACGGAATGTTTATAATGTACTCTGTGCATTTTATGGAAGTAGAGTATGTAATGCAAAATGACGGGAATGTCCAAATTAAATCTGCTATTCTTTAAATTGATATTTACCTAAATACAGTACATACATATAATTGAATGTTTTAATAATCATTTCTGTATATTTTTCTTCAGTCTATCAGGATTGTCACCATTCATGGGCGAGACAGACATAGAGACCATGGCAAACGTAACTGTAGCAAAATATGACTTCGACGATGAAGCTTTCAATGAAATCTCGGACGAGGCTAAGGATTTCATAAGCAAACTCCTTGTGAAAGATAAAGAGTAAGTTAATTTGTTTACTGTCTATATTCACACTGTATTTAGGGGTAGACAGTGGCAATCGGACTGCCTAAGACCTTTGATTCATAAACCCATCTTATGCCTATTATTTATTAGCGAGTCTGTTTAATTTAATAAGTCATTTCCCTATAAGCGATTTATTAAACGGAGTAGTATATTTGTTATTATTTTTAATATAATTTGTTATATTATTAAAATATCCTATTTCCTGAAAGCCACCTTTATATACATTCGTGTTATGTTATTTATTATCCGAATGAAATTTAACTTCTGCAAAAGTCAAAGAAGCTATTAAATGTCTAACTTTTTAAATACATATTTTACAAAATATATATATTTAAAGCTGTATTATTCAGCCTGTCGATAAAGACCCTTTGTTACTTGTTCTAATTTCACCAACACATTGTATTAATATGCATAAAAGTGACTAACAATTATTACATTTTCTGCACGAAATATTTTACTGTAACTTACAACAGGTGCTAACCATTTTTATGTTTTTAGTTAAGAAGTAGAATAGCAAGTAGTAATATATACATATATACCTACTATATACATATATAAGGTGCTACCAACACATCTGTATTCTCAACTGCAGGACAATGTGTGCATATATAAATGTAAGCACACAAAATTTCAAGAAAATTCATGTTTGGTGGCCTACATTTAGGCCATATAATAATATTAATTATTAGAATAATATAAACAATCAATAATCTTCTCAATCTGCACTTGGCACCCATTCTATTTGTATTTCTTTGTTTAATTTTTGTGAAATTGTTCAGTCCGTATTAGAACCCTGTTTTGACATCTATAGTAGCATAAGCTCATATGAAATAGCTCAAATAATAAAATGAATATCAACACCAACACAGCACCTTCCTTTTATTTGTCATAGGTTAATTTTTGTGAAATAGAGTTTGGATTAAGATTTCGCGTTGACATCTGAGCATAAGCTGTGTATCACAATATAAAAATATAATTAATAATAGGGCAGTAGTACAATATCTACCTGTATCTTAAATTCCAAGCACTAACTACACTACTACAGTGGTCTACTAAGTAAAGTAGCGATACCTAATCGACATAATATTCATACATAATGCTATAGTAGTGATATGATTCATTAGCTATTACACTACAGTATCGTTAAATAATTTATAAAATAAATTATATCTTACTACTTATAATTTCTTAACTGCGTAAATAGGTCTTTTTCGGTATTAAGGCATTTCGTCATTATGGTACCTACCGAAATATATTGTGAAAGAAGCGGCAACAACTGTATTTACATGAAATGTAATATTTATTTTATGAATGAAATGAAAAAAATATGTCATTAGTAACACGAAATTCCATCATTATTGTAATGTGTAAAATTAATATTATTGCCCTATAGAAGCGAATCTAAAATATTTGGTAGCACCCTATATATGACATATTATAACATCCCGCTGATAAGATGATAGCAACCTATCCATTATTATGTTTACCCACTGTAGAAAGTAGAAGCTTTCAACTATGCACGCATCACCTATCCTTCCGATATATCCATAAATGCACAGCATCATAGGTGTTGGGGGTCATAGTAACAAGGGTCTTTGTCGCAGGTCAAGACCGAGTGCCACGGAGTGTTTACGTCACCGATGGATCATGAAAAGACCACCGGTGAAGAAAGACAAGCCACCTGTACCGCAGCCCTCCCCGAAACATGAACTTGACGTAGCTAAGGACAACCTTCGCCTCTTTGTAGAACGGTGGAGCGAACATCCCAACTCACCATACATATTCGACAATGAGTCACATGAAATTACCACTTTAATGAACGGAAATTGTGAAAAGTCCTCAATTGGGGGCTGTTCGCCTTCTCCCAGAAGTTCCCTTGGCAGTTCCCCAGATGTAATATTTGATGAAGACGACTTGGAACCACCTCCGTTAAGAGAAAATAGCTTATTATCTCCACGTTATAATCCCGTCGAAAGACGGGCTTCAGACAGTACATGTTTCCTAAATAAGAAACAAGATGTGATGGTTAGGAAAAACCTAGCTGAAGAGATAAAGAAGTTATCCGATCATCTGTTCATGCTCTCAACGATGAATACAGATTTAGCCAATAATAACAACACGAAAGAACAAGACAAAAATATCACAGAAAAGATGGTTACACAGAAAGAAGAAAAACTGCTAAATGGGTTTAGAAAGGAATCAAAAACGGTAATTAAAACAATGACTAATGGTGATGCAACCAATAAAGAAAAGAGAATATTCACATCAAAGTCCAGCCACAAATTAACTTCAACATTCTTATCAGAGAGGGAGCCAGAAAAGCCAATGACAAGCAAAATGCCGTGGGCCAAATCGACGAGGTCTAAACGAGTCACAAATATGAGTAGAGATGTTCCTGACCAACCTACCGAGAGGCGGAACAGTTTCTTCCAGGAATTTGACAGACGTAGAGAACAAATTGATAAACTAGTAAATGGTCCAGAAAAAAGCAGACAGATGCCTTACAGGAGAGGAGATGAGGATAATGCTCATAGAACAAAGGATTTACTGTTGCATCTTCTAGAAAAATGGGGCCAGACTGAGGAAGTGGAAGCTGAGAGAACCGCGGGAGGCACTTCGAATGGAGGGAGACATCAATCAATATCCTTGGAGTGGTCACCTTCGAATCAACTAGCCCAAAACTCCATGTCGAGTCTTCACGCGTTTTTCCAGAGACAAACCTCAGATGAGAAGTCACAACGGAAAAAAGTCACAACAGACATACCGAATCCCAAATGATTCTTGTTTTGACAAACGAACTTCTAGTGCCATGACATTTGGACGGTTTTTGTCCATCTTGTAAATCTAAAATCAATATTTTAATAGAAGTCAGTTAAAACAATGTTGTAAATGTTTAATGTTAGTAATAAGTTACCAAAGTAACTGATTGAGATTACGTTATATTTAAATTAATGTAATTAAGAGAGTAAAGGTACTTACTTTATTTATAAGAATGGCAGTAAATGACAATGTTACGAATCTAGTCTCCGTACACAAAGTTCCGTATGAAACCAGAATGACATGCAAGACTGAGGTGCGATTTGGTAATGGCTAATTTAGACTATTTTATATAAGCAAGTTATCAGTCGTTTTGAGGCGATATTCTGTAGCGGCCGTCACGAGAGTGTACCATTAGGATTATATAGTATTACTATTCTATGGCATATGGGATCGTCAGAGGCCCTCTTTTTATAAGAGATCCCACGATCAAATCTCTCTCGCCGGAATCTGTAAGAATTCTCTGAAAGTAACTATGGTATACATAGGTGCTTAGATAATTGGTTCATCGCCTCTATATAAGAATAAATCACAATTATTTACATATTCATTTATAATATTATAATCGAAGAACAAGTGGTGTACTCGCAAGTTGAATTCAAGTCCTGAGTTCAATTCTAGTTGACCTAAAAATGTATATTTCCGATTGATTTCGCTAATGGATGCACCAATATTAAACAAAGATAACGCGAGAGACGACAGTTGGTTTAGACCTCGAGACGTTGAATTCAAATATAGCCAGAGTAATATGGATAATGCCGTTAAGTACCCCATGTGGTACCTACATATAAAATAGAACAATCAAACTGTATATTATTTAATATTGCCAATATAAGTACTCTCTCATGATGGTAGCGGTTTGAAATTGTTTGTTTTTTGCAAAAATTTTGGAATATATGCTATTTCAATAAGTAGTACAATATTCCAATATATTTGATTTTAACAATCCAATTGATAACAATAATATTTAGTGGTTATGTCTTTTTTACTTTTCTACAATTAATTATTGAGTTATAAATATTATGCAATTGATTCTAGAAAATCTAGTTCTGAATTAATATTATTGTATTGTTCCTTGTCCTTACTTATTTTTAATTTATTTTATTATTACGTAATTTATTGTTGCACGATATTTACGTTGTTAAAATATAAGGCTTAAATAAAATATGTAGTTTTAATTCCAACGTCATGATATTATTGTCTAAATTTATAATAATAAACCGATACGATATTAAAAACTTCAAGAACAGTTTATTCCTTCTTAAAAAGCCGACTTGCTTCCTTAGTGCTGCTAATCACTTACCGTCAGGCGAGCTGCAAGCTTCTTTGTCCCCTGAGCTATATAAAATTATCATAATTTCTACTGACTGGCGGCTCTTCAGGTAAATTTACTTGCCCATAGATTGGATCTTCTATTTAAAAAAGTAGACGAAGATGCGAATAACAACCAGTATATAAAGATGAAAGTTTTCATTTTATTACAAACAATGAAGAATAAAAAAAAATACTGAACCGATTCAAAAATGTCGTTTGCTTAGATATATAAAAGCAACGTTATCAGCAACTATAACTTATTTTCCGAAAGTCAGAAATTCCCACAATAATTGCACCTGAGAATATCCGTGGCAAGTCGTAACTCACAGCTCAGTCCACTAAGACCTAATTACAGTAGCGTTTTTATTAATCGCTAGAATTAGGCATACCCAAGTATTTTTATGGATGATAATAAAATGATGGAGCAGACTCGCTAACGGTTTACTGCTAGCAGGGCACCAGTAGAGGATGATACATTGAACATGAAGTCAGCCCATCACGGCAAACGGCAATTTATCGTACGAGTGTAACCAGACGTGATACGTTGCTAGCAATGGAGTTAGCCGTCCACATTACTAATAATCCTCTTTTCCCGAAATACCTACCCAAGTATAGACAACTAGGTTTCTATCTATCCAACGACAAGAATGGTTCACAAACCATGTGACCTGCGTATTAGCAATTGGACCAACGTCTACTGCACAAAATATGCTATCTATTTACGGTGTTGTGAAAGTTGTTTGGCGGGAATTGTATCTAGGTTTTTTCTACAGTTTAGACTGTGGTCTAACACATCAACAATTCATATCAAATCAAGATACTGTGTTTACTCATTCTTATAGAAAATTGTCAATTAATAGGAAAGAAAGAATAAGAAAATTGTCATTAGATCAATGCACAAGGTTCGGACAGAAATTAAAATAGAATAATTAATGAGTACCTACTGTCTTTAACAATATGTCTGTTGGTCTACATGTTACCAACGGAAAGGTCTAACTTAATTATTATAATAAATATTTTTTATGGTAAAAGTGTTGATAAGCTATTATAATTATATGACCATCGCTAGTCAATCGTTACAAATATTTAAAATTTCTATTTATTTTTTTGAAATTCATACACTTCTTACATATTAATGAGTTTTTAGTTTTACTTATTTTGGCGCACTATTTAAAGAGACCGACTACCGGCGTCAGCGACGGTCACCCATCCATGGCTAATACAATCGGCACTCTGCACCGAACTTCACGTCACCAAGACAAAGCTCAAACGTTACGTCATCAGGAAGAGATGGGTGAAAGCGGTAGCAGCCGTTATAGCACTCAAAAGAATGGGAGCCAAGTTCGAAGATGTTTCTGAAGATGTGAAAGAGCATTAACATAGATATAAATTATTATGGAATCGAAAAATTCGTTTCCATGGTTTAGTGGTTAGAAAAATAAGGTTTTATTTAAAGGGTTTGTGCATGTTATTTTTACATGTTAACATGTACATTAACATGTTAACATCGGTTATAACTAATGGAGCGACTAAAATCGGTAAGTGATATCTACTCAAATTAAATCATAATATAAATATTAACTGGGCATATCTATGACAAAAAAAAATAAGATTGAGACCTAAAAACAAGATTGAGATATTTTAAAAGCAGATTGAAAATAAATTTTAAACAATATAATAAATCTACCGTCCATTTCAGTTTATACTTATATTTTAGTCGTAACATTTGATTCGCATGTTATATAATATATGAGTTTTTCCATACATAATAATTTTAGTGGATACAGATCAATTAAAATAAATATATGTTATAAAAATAAGCATTAGTTGATGCTAGTTAATGTTGCTATTGCTGATCCGTGATTTGTAATCTCATATTTAAATTCTATATAAAAGTAGGTTTTCAAAAATAGTAACATCAACATCATAGATTTTATCATAGCTCTATGATAAACACTACTTTACCCCTTGTAAAGAGGCCTTAATAAAAAAATATATTATTCGGTCAAAAATGTAAGTACGAAAATACTACCGTAAACAGAACATCTTGTTTATATTAAAATATTAAATAGTAAAATGCCATTAAAAAGAAAGGCGGTAATAAGTTCCTAAGCCAATAAAAATATGGAGGCTTATCTACTAATATAGGTACTTACATCATGCCATCCCACTTATGGCAGTCATGCTAGGTAGCTAGATTTGTTATGACCTTACTACATTATATATGTGCTAATGGCTACCTAAAGTTAGAATGAAATTGTGCCAAATTGCTTGCATTAAAATTATTACTATTTTTAAGCATATAATTATATAGAAGTATGTTTTAACACTTTGGTCTGTTAAGTATTAATGATCTGGTAACCTGTTTGATATTATAACTTAATATTATTTTTATAAGAAATTAATGAAAGACATTAACTATGTGTAACTGTAAGTTTGTGCTAACTACTAAGTATATTATTGCTTGTTTAAAATAATTACGATAATCTCTTCAAATAGATCGGTGAATTTGTCAGATAAATTACTATTTCATATAAATGAAAGGTAAAAAATATACAATTAGATATAAGCCATTTTTAAAGCGTTTACGATATATGTAATTTTTAATCACACTTTGGGGCGCTGAATGAATTTTAAAATTAAAAACTGATTGCATTTATTTTCTTTATATAAATATATATTTTTTTGGGTTTGAAAGTTTTGACGTATACTAGCCGGCATTTACAAATCGAGTCATACGGTTCGTACCTGCAGTATGATTCATACATCATCGAAAACAAACAATTGCAGTCTTTGTAAATTAAGAATTGCGTTAAGTTACACGACGTAAGTTCTAGTCCTTTTGAATTTTTCAATTAGGTACAAAATAAGCTTTCCATAAAAATGCAAGCGATACATATCTATTATCAGCATAAATTTTACTGCATTTGTTTTTACTTTAATATTCCCGCTTTTACACGAGTAACGGGAACCCTATATTATATTAAGAATAAAATATGATTTGTATTTGTGACACACAACAGTAATATGAAAAATCATGAATCTCATGAAGGAAATTATACCCTCCTACATCTGAATTGTGATTCTCATGAGAAGAGAGTAAAATGAATCATAATGTTAGCAATTATTTTTTAAAATAAAAGTAAAAAGAGCAATTACTCAAATGTTTTATTTACTACCTACCCCTCTTCGAGTGAAACAAATATGTAATTTTTGTACAGGAGGTTGATAAAAAAATATTGTCATTTTGACATTTGCGAGGGCAAGGTATAACCAAGTACCTCAGACTCCATGATCGCATTTTAGAAATATTATATTCTCCATGCTGTTTTAGTCTATTGTTTATCTCATATATCCTACTAATACTACAAACAAGTTTGTTACTCTTTCGTGGAAAAACTATAAGACGTAATAGAATGAAATTTGGTGCAGACAAATTATGTGCTAGATATATATATATATATATATATACAGGATAATTCTCGTCCAAATTCACAGGGATAAGACCATGTTATCATAAGGATATACAATGTAATCAACGATATAGAGATCGAAATATATTCAAAGAATTTACTCTTTCACTTAAAAAATACTGAACAGATTATTATGACATAACTCAAGTAATATAGCTTATATACATCAGAATAACACCTAGGCTATAATTTAAAAAGGTATGTAAATAGGACTAAACAAAAAAGGAGTGTTTTTATGAGTTTTATTTTAAACACCCAATAATATCACAGTGACAGATACCAATTCAATGTGATACCACTCGGCGATATTGACAATGGTATTAACGGTATGATTTCTGGTATCTGGCGCGGGCACCTGGACCGCCGAACTTCTTGGGCTCGCAGCGACGGGGATCGGCTACCAGTAAACTCCTGTCGTATTGTACCAGGATGTCTTTGATTTCCTTCTTTGACGCCTCATCTACGTCTGGAATTAAAAGATATGTTATTATGAATATTAGCTCTATATCGATATATTTTCAAACCTAAGAGCGCAGACCGGGAATTTATGGTCTACTATAGACCTTCTACGTCATATTAACCTACAAGCATTACCATCGGGAAAGTATCGCGATTATTTCCTAGCCACATCCTTAATATAACCAACCAATGGTCAACTTACATTGACATAGATTCAAATGCAAATTTGTACTTAATAGAAATAGAGATAAATATAATAATGAACTCTTATCTGCCATTTGTAACATTTAATATTATGGATCAGGGATGTTGACAAATACAAATTGTGTTTAATTACAATTGTATACACTGTTGAACCAAATCAAATAAAAAAAATGCAGGTATAAAAACATTACGCATTGAATTGCTTAGACGCTATGTCAAAGTTTTAGAAGTAGGATAATATTGTCGTGTACACTTCAAACAAGCGAGGTATTGATAACGCATGCCGTTTGGTAAATGTCACATTGATCTCCTTTCTCTGAAATGACTGAATCATATGGAATGAGACAGCTTTGGAAAGAAAGGGACAGGTGATTAAAACAAAAGTAAAGTACAGCAATTCTTTCATTTTGAATTATACAGTATTATGTTGAAAAGTAAATTATTTGAACAGCAGTGAAAAAGAAATTTCTTTTTTAAATTAATTACATATTCAGTTTCATAATTTTTTGTATCACATGCCAAAGTAAATCTGAACTCATATTCTATTGTAATCGGTTCAGCCATTTCTTGGCAAAAATGGTTAATTTGGAATTTATTATTAGTTTTTAGACTTCTTGATTATAGCAAGAAACAAATTAATATAAATGTATGTTAACTTTGCTTCCCAATATAATTTATATACACACATAAAAGGCAATAATCAAATCATAAATTTTGTTTATTTTATTACTATATATTTAAGACTGTCTGCATAAGAAACATTCAAGTAATGCACATTAGAAAGAGAAAGAGTAAAGAAGTGGAATATAAAAAAAACTTACATTTCTGATAGAAAGCAATCAGTGCCTTAGAGATGGCTTGTCTGATAGCGTACACCTGAGCAACATGACCACCACCCTTAACGGTCACTCTGATATCGACGCCGGAGAACTTCTCCTAAAAACCAAGAAACAGTATGTCAATTTACATACTTTTTCCTATACAAAATTAGTTATTTTACTCATTACAAATAATCAGAATAATTTTATTTACTTCACATCTTAAGATGCTCAGGTTCGGAATAAGATTTATTCATCCCATATATCAACAAGGGTATTAGTAAAATATTACTATATTGGTACAAAACTAATGCAGCTAGGTAAGGGTATATACAGACAGACAGTGGAAATACTTTCACACATATATATATTATTAAAAGCAAAATGGTGAGTTATTAGAATAACTATGACAGTGGAAGAGAGTAGTGGCAAAAGCATAATCAGTGATAAACAACCATATGGTGTACTAAAACATTTGAAAGAAAGAAAGAAAAAAACATTCTCAGTTTTTGTGTACAAATTATTATTTGTGTACAGATTGTGTACAGATATTTCTATACTAAAATGATTATATACCTAAATCAATTATTTTGTTTAATAGCTGAAAAAGTGACAAACACTATTTAAAGAGATGGAAATTTTAATTTGAAATACCATATAAAATGAGAAAATCTAATCTATAAACTGGCCATGAAATTGACTGACAAGTAGTAGTTATGATAGTAATGACAACAAAAAATGTACCAGTGGATTTCCTCATGAGTTCTTCTCACTGAAGTACCTATCCAAACTAGATGGTAGGGATAAGTAATATGGGAAGACTACCAAATTTATTTAAAGTGTGAGTAATCTGTAGATAACACAAAACCATCATCATAGAGGTCTGTGGATGTTTAGATATGGGCCACATTAATGTCTTTAAGTCATTATGGATTTGTAATTTGCAATTCATTAGTTCACTTTTAGAGATAAGTCCACCTTAGCTCACATTGTGTCTAGTTAGTTTAATTATTGTATCTAAGACTGCAATAAATATAATATATATATTTCTAGGTGTTATCATACACTTAAAGAATGTATATACCCCTATACATATACATGACAATGAAACAAACTACATTACATGTGCAAAAAACAAATTCATGAGCATATTAAAATGTGAAATAAACATGCAACTAACTAAATACTAATTACATGCAGGTATTAATCTATTACTAGTATATTAGGTTAGAACATATGTACAGTTGAAATAGATTTAATAATTATAATTGATGTTAATTTAGATTGATTTCGAAATTAATTAAAAACAGTTGCAATACTAAGTATATTACTTTTATGGAAGCAGTCATTTTTGAATAGGTAGCTGGAAGAAACAATGTTTTTGTTTTACCAATATGATATAATAATGAAAATTAAGTAATGACTAGTCTATAAACTGGTCACTCGAGAATGTAATTATTAACTACTTTTGATTATTATAACTAATTTTTATTATTATATCACATGGTTAGTTATTCAAAACTATGAAGCTATTTCATAAAACTGTACTTTATTGTGCTTACACCAAAAGTTAAGTGGGACAACACTAATGCTCTACTTGTTACATAACAGCAAATTTAAGCAAGTTTCTTAATATACTATATTCTAAATATCTAAATATACTATATATTCAATTGACAAACTGCAATAAAAACATATTACATGGTTTTATTTATTAAAAAGAACAAAAAAATATTAATAATATTGTACAAAATATGCATGTTGTTAGATACAATATTTTAATAATTTTTTGTCCATTTAAAAATAATTAGACAGAGATGTTTTACAGCTTGATGCACTGTCAAACGAAAAGACATGCAAATATATTTAATGTGCCGATTATATTAGAAATGTACCTTTCCAAGTAATAAGATAGGCTCCTGCAATTTGTATTGAAGAAGACGGGGCTCCACAAGGTCCAATGGACGTCCATTTACCCGAAGCACTCCACGACCACGCTTGCAGTATGCAACTGCTGTGGCTGTTTTCTGTAAATATATTTTTAAATATTCATTATAATTAGAATAGCAAACGAGCTGCCCACCTGATGATAAGTGATAATAGTTTCTTATATATTTGAACAGCACTACGGACTGTTGTCATATAACTCCAGATGATTAACATCTTATATCCTAACCATGTAATTTCCCTCCCTAATCTGCATTCTTCAGCCAAAACACAGCCTATAAAGCAAATTGCTTGGTGGCTAAAATAGATGAGAAGTAAAAACGGACACAACTTTATAGTCTACCTCTGGTAGTTACAAATGCGTTTTTTTTGTTTGCATATTACTTGCACGATGGTCGAAGGAATCGTGTGCTGTGTTAAACTGGTCTACCAGATGAGATTCATAAATCTAAGGTTATGGTAAACGTAAGGAAAAGAATGGTGTAATAAGTGGTAAATTTTAAGACATTTATTTTATTATCTGTTGTTTCCGCCTAGACCAACTGGAAGATACTCTTGCAAGTTGGCTGGGAAGGCCACAACTATGATTTCCCTTTCTATATAAATGTTCTAGTAAATAATAGGTTACCAGACCAAAGGCACGAAAGGATTATTCGCCTAAACTAAGTAACTGTGATACGTACACGTAACTAGGAGAAAACTTACTAAATTAATATAAGATTACTAGCTACTTTAAAATTAATCATAAAATTATTTATTGGTAACCGCTAGAAACACGTGGACGGACAGTGCACTCACCTTACGTCCGAATACTTGGACGGCTTGAATAGGTTCGCGTCTCGCCTGTAATTATGAAATATGTAATTAATTTTCTATAATACAAACATAAAACACTGAGATTTTAACATGTTCAAAATATATAAAATTAGGGGAAATCAACACAAACCTCTTGCACTGCCGCCATTTTGACAGAAAAAGAATGAAATCTATTGTAATGAATGAATATGAGAGAGCTAGAATAATGCCGTCAACTAACAGCCACAGATCTCGCAAACCAGATTGATTTACGACAAATGAATGACGAACGACTGAAAATTATTAGAGTCAATGTTTTTACTTATTTGCAATATAATAAATACTAACACTTATATAATAAAACGTAATATAAAATAAAAAAATATGCAAAAAAATACTGATGAATGTGTTAAAAAAATGTACAGACTTATATACAGCGCCATCTAGTGCTACGTCCAAATAAAACAGACATATTTACAATTTCTTTGCTACTGTCCAATAGATGGAGCTTTTATTAAAGAGTAGAAAAACGTATCCACGGCATGGGTAGATATTTGTTTTGTTTGTATTCATCGAACGTAATCGCTTGGGTTTAGTCGTACGGTATTCGATGCAGTATCGCACAAATTCATTACAATGCGCTGCGAAAAGTCTAACGTTCCCGCGCGGGTTTGAACTGCAACAAAACAGTGTGAACAAAAGTTGGTATAAAGAGAAATTTGTGCATTATTGTTTTATGTAACGAACGCCGTCTGTGTTGGATTTTTATATTCATCGCATATTATCCTGCATTTTGCATCATATACAGGTGAGTCGAGATTTTGAGAATATTACATCTGCAAATGTCTACCTACCCGGCAAATATTTTATAAAATAATAAATTAAAATATATATTAAATGCTGTGTATGAAAAATTAGGCGACACTCGTTTGATTTTTTGTCATTAGTTTTATAAATGATTCGTGTCGAGTTTGAACGATGCGTCACAAAAAACAAAATGATTCATGTAGGAATGTGGGTACTTCACTAGCAGGTAATTAAATATTGTTTCTGTATTACGTTTTTGTATTTTAAAAGGAAAACGGGACTAATATTAATAATAACGTCTGACCTGTAAATTGTTCAGATATTATTGAAACGTCGCATAGAAATATTTCAGTATGTAGAAGAGATAATTTTGCGTATAACGTAAATTCTATCCAGTAATAAAATTATTTCTTATTTGAACTACGTATACCTACTGCTTGTGGCACATTAACTTTAAGTTATTTTTGTTTTCTTTAAATGTTAATTAATTTTTTTAAAACTACTATTAATATCTGTTTCACGTCATCCATTTAGGATGCACTAGGATTGTGCCCATAAAATGAAATAAAATATTGGGCCACAATAATTGACAGTCGTGCTCGGGTTCAAGTTCCTTTCCGTGGAATTTTATAATTCAACTACAACAAGGCAAATAGGTAGGTATAGTCACAGGGCTATACTGTCAGTATTCTAAATAATGTTCAACCAATCCTTAACGCTTAAGAAATTAAAACTACGTTATGGTTTTAAGTGATCATAAATATTCAGATTTTTATTAACGGTTATATCTAATTTCCGCTGCGAAATATATCTCGTAGGTTATATAAAAGTACATAGTAGTTATATAAGCTAGCCAGTGGTTGTACTGTTAACTTTATTAAATATACAGTTTATAACGAAAAGGACATGGGTACCTTAAGATAAAATTACAGGCATTATCATATAAACAATATAAAAGGCTATTCTAAATATTAAAAAAAGTATCAGTACATTCCTTATAAGATGAAGATGTTTCGAGCCAGATGTCCCTAATATAATTTATTAACATTTACATTGTAATCTTACATCCTACTTAATTATTTTTAACAGTCTATTGAGTTCTTAAATAAAGAGTTACATAGATATTTATTTTAATCAGTTTAATAAAAATGATGCCATAATTATTTACTAAAATAGCAAATAATCTAAAAAAAAATATTTAGATCAAAATACAGATATTGGGATAAAAATATATTAAATGAGCATTTCCAATTAAGCATGTAACGGTGAATCCTCATAATTACTGCGCTAGTGCTAGTTTCCGCTCGTAAACATTTTATTAGATTGTTATTATTGCCATTTAGTTGACTTTAATTATAGCCATTCAATTTCACTTAGTTATATTTCATTAGTTGGTAATTAGGCAGTGTGTGCCTACCTCTGTATAGAATCCATGCCCTCGGACTTGGAAGCTTCGACTTTAAACAGTTGGACCTCTGACATCTTACTATTTTGGTTACAGTTGTACCTAAAAGGCAAATTTTAGAAAATTACGTTTTTGTTACTTTTTTGAAAACATTATCCACTAAGTATAACTTTGATTTTGACTAATGACAAGCTTAATTATAGCACAGATAACATAATATTACATAATAATATTACATAATTATAACCATAAAGTTGATGGTAGATAGGAAGACAAAAAAGAAAAAAGTAAGCATGACGTTAGAAGCGAAATCTGTAATAAAATTCAAATTTCTGGCTAAATATATTTATGTTGTAATATTATTGTCTTGTACTGTCCAAGACTGATTTTCATGTAGTCCCCATTAAAAACTCGATGTACATAAAATTACCTGACTTCATTCTTAACCTATTATCCTTGTCTAGGTCCTATTATCCTTGATGTAGAGCGCATATCCTTTAACGAATACACTATACCATATTCATCCCTAATAAAATAATTATTAAATACGACTTAAGCTGGTACGGAGTCTTTATTGTATGAGTAATTATTCTCGAACACCATTAACACTACAGACCTTTCGCCCAATTTGCGTTTTTTTCTTTACCAGTTACTAAATGCATGTCTGCATGCATTTAGTAACTGGTAAACATATATATATATTTTTTAGGTGTCATCAATAAATCATTATAACGGATGACATTAATAATGTAACCGAGCTACTTCTACAACTAATCAAAACATAATAAACTACTAAAGTATCCACTTATGCAATAAGAAAGTATTCATTAACTTAAATTTTCGACAAGTCATTATTTATTATAATACATGACAGAAATAATATGTAATTACATAACCCAAACATTTGAATTATAGGAAGACATCGTTGGTGTAGCGGTTTATACTTTGTTCAAAGTGAGGCACACAGCCTTACTTTGTACACGGTCGTCAATTGTCTCACGCCAACCATTTCAGACGCCAAGCAGCTTGCTTTGTAAAAGGTAGAGACTTAAGTAGAGCTTATACGCAGAGAAATGCCATCAGTTCTTCGGAATGGCAAAGCATAAATGGTATCTACCATTATCACATGATAATGGAATGTCCGTAGTTGTACATGTATATAGGCGACTGGTAACACTTACCATTAAGTGGGCCGTCAGCTTGTTTGCCATTCATGTACTATATAAAATAATAATAATAATCCAGAACAATTCACCCAGGGCAGTCTACAAGCAAGCTGAGAAGAGCTTGTGTTATGTATACTGGACAAACAAACAACCAATATAAGCAATCATACCATGAATACAAATGTTTGGATCATGCGAGGAACATATTAAAAGTCTGAATTTTATACTACCGGCATTAAATTTCAGTAAATTTCAATAAAAAATATATCCTATGTGTTATTCTGATGGATAAGCCATATTACTGTAAAGTTTCATCAAAATCCGTTCAGTAGTTTATGCGTGAAACAGTAACAAACATCCATACTCTCAAACTTTCGCGTATATAATATTATTAGTAAGATATATAAATTTTAATGAACATTTTCTTATAAGGATCTGCCTGTATACGTAATACCTACCTACTCGTAGTCTTGTGTGTGTAAACTGTTTATGGAATACTTTTTAATTGCGGTACCTAAGTACATCTAGAAAGCAATAGCAGGCGCCGTAAGCCTGATGGAACCGTTTTGTGGCCGACATCAATGTTAGTAAGGCTTCCTGTGCCCGATGTACCTACATATCTACAATAGGGGTCAAGTAATCCGTTTAAGTCTCAAGTAGGCGAGCCTCAATTTCACGCCTAATGTAACTCGTAGTCAACAACGCATATTGGCAGTACTAAATTAATCAAGACAAAATAATGAACTTAAAGATGCTTGCAGTGTGATGCGATTGGTTGCGGTCACTTGCGGTTTTCATTTCAGTAATGATTTCAACATTAATGACGTAACGCACCGCATTAGACCGGATACATTCAGATACTAGTTTAATCATTCAACAGATTCATTGCATACATACCTGATATCAGAATGTGGATAATATCCAGCGAAACGTAGTCAAAATATTTGAATAAAACAAATATTTTTTATGTAATATAAAACAAGTCTGATTCTTAATTTTGTTTAAGCATAAACCCAACGTTTTTTACCCTTTCATTGATAACAAAAACTCAGGGAGAATTGATATGTGAGTCCATTGTCTTATACACTATACAATCAAACGCAGCCACACGCACACACACAAAAGCTAAATTAAGTAAAATAATCAATTACTTTAACATGAAAATTAAAACTTATGTTTTTGAGAAGGATCTGACTCCTGATATACAACACACGCTAGTTTGTGATTCAGGACTGCCTTAAACTGTACCATTAACTAATGAAGGTTTATATAAATAAAATATTACTATTATAATAAATAATTAATATAGAACTGATAAACGGAGAAATTCAAAGTTAAGTTAAGCAAAACTAAAAACAACAGCCTGACAGTAATGAAGTGGTCGTTCAATTATAGAAAAAACTCCAAACGGCTCATGTTATGTTGATGCATGTGATGTTTTGCTAGTACAGAATACACATCAGGTGATACAAAGTCACTGGTTCGTGTTATTCTATAGATAGACACGTAATAGGATAAAGTCGACGTAATTTATTTTTTATTGCTCCTTAGTGCCCCTTGGACTTAGAAAATCAAGGTTGAAGTTAATCAAACTTATGTAAAAACTGTATTTATTATAATGAAATCTATACTGCCATGTAAGGTGTTCTTTCTTTTAATAATAATAATATTATTTATTTGCAAATGTAGATCATTAATAAGATGTTTTCCTTTTTCTTGAGATTCTTCAAATTTTGTTTGGTAGGTATCGCCGTATTACGTCATTACACGTATTATAATTATATTGATCGTAATCCTAGACACAAAGAGAAAAAATATTAATATTTCTAAACTGTAAAAAGTAAGAAATCTGTATTTATATACCATAAGCATATTAGTCAAATTTAAATACAAATTTTCTGTGGGTAAACAAACGTCAAAATTAATATAGTTTTGGTATCAAGGGATACATGCACAAAAACAGCATATAATTAAGAACCTCGAACGCTCCTGCTTAAACTTTTTTACATAGTATAAAATGAAGTAGCTACCTTTGTCTGTTGGCTTATATCTTATAAACTACGCAACGGTATTTGCCAATAGATAGACTGATTCTAGAGAAAGGTTTATATGTACACCCGTGCGAAGTCGGGAAGGATGGTAACTAGTTTATCAACATATGAAAATAAAAATTAATGATTCCTCAATAATCATCAATAATCTTGAAGTTCACATTAATGTAACCCAAGTTTTACAATCGCAATTAAAAATCAATGGAACATGATTCTATAACATTATGGCCGTCACTTGTATCTTATGGAGTCTGTAATAGCATTCTAAACATTTTATAGTACCATTATACAGAAGCTAAAAAGCGATTAAATCTAACGTTCACGCATTTAAGTCGCAAAAATATTGTCTTTGGTATCAGTGCAAGTAAACGCATTTGCA